CGTGATTTCAAATTGTAATATTTTATTTTACAACAGTGTTAGTGTCACATGCTGTACTTAATTGTTACGCACTATTCTTAGTCTTGGTTGGGTGGTATAATCGTTTCCTGGAGAGATGCTTCTGAGAGCACGTTTTGATATAATCCAGGGTGGGTATAGGCGCGTCTCTGTTTCAGCTTATACTGAACCAGGTTCAGGCGTGCGGGCGGGCTTGCCTATCGCATCTCACCGCTCACCATGTCGCCGCACGGCCCCGTGCAAGTATGCAACCCGACCGCACGCAATAATCCGGAGCAGTGTAAGCAGGAAAAAAAAGGTTACAATAACGTGACAAAATTATTATAAGCATTTAAGTAGTATGTCCCTGCACCCTTGAGTTTTTGACCGGATATAAAGGTTACGACCACAAAGAGTCAATGTGGAACTCAATCCCATAATGTCTGTGGATGACAACATGCTGGCCGTACGGCATTCCAAGACATTATTTGGTGATCCCTCAACCCCGTTAATTTTTAGGCAGTCCCCAAGACTGTATCTACCAGAGAGCGAAAACCTTCCCCCTCACCCCTCCCTGAGCTTTTTCCTTAGAACAGGGCCGACAAGGGGGTTCGTTCTCTTCATGAAAATATTCACACTCACAGAATTTAAAGAGGAAATACAATTGTGAAAAAAATGTGTTGGTTCTGTCCTTTCAAAGTTTTTCATTCAGAGGTGGTCCGACGATACCCCGCGCCTGAAATGAGTGGAGTATTGTCGAGCGTCGCTACCCTCGACATCACCGTGGAGTAACGGCAAGCGTACGCGTGAGAGTATAGCTCATTTGCAGCTGCTATGGAACACAGCACGCCTGTAAATAGAACTTAGGTTTCGCCCTTCTTTTTCACTGTGAGTTTTACACTGGTAAAACAAAGGTGTGAAATCACACCTTTTAAAGGCATTAAAGTTCTAAAGGCGTTAAAGTTTTAGTTTTTTCGAAATATTTTCTGCTGAAGCAAACCAAGGTTTGTAGGACCAATATTTTCGCTTTCAGCTCAAAATTCCGCTTCGAACGAGCCTACATGTGATATGTGTCTGAAGAATGGTGAAAGAACTGCCCTCAGAAATCTACTAAATTTCTTTCATTTGGGATTTGAACCCTACCACAAGCAGGCTTGATGGAAGCGGAATTTTGAGCTGAATACAAAAATGTAAGTTCTACAAACCTTGGTTTGCTTCATCAGAAAATATTTGGGAAAAACTCAAACATTAACACCTTTGTTTTACCAGTGTAGTCATTTAATTTTGGCTAGACTCCTGCAGACCTTGCCGGTCTGCCGTACGGTAGTGTTAATTTGTAATACTGACTAACGCCGGACTTCTGACTTTCTCCTGTCTCAGGCTCCAGTTCGCTATGAAGAATTAGAAGCCGAGATAACTCTAGTTGAAGTTGAAGATTGATTGATTTATCGATTTATTGGAAAATAAGTACAGCTGCAGTGATCGTACTACAGGCACTGAGGTCCTGCTAATGTGATGACTAGTATGATTTGACAATAAATGTTTACAATAAACTATACAACAATATAAAAAACAATTATTAAACATTTTGCTCTGTGGGCCAACTTCTTACGACTCTCATTCTTCTTCTTTTTCTCGCATGATGTTCAAGATTCGGGCTGTCCGTCCGTCCTAGTTCTGGCAACCGAAATATCAGGGGCACCGCTGATTCATACACAACCCCGGCCCGGCCAGAGCGCGCCAATGATTAGGTGTGTTACAGTAGAAAAGATATCGCCCTGTTCAGAGCAGTCTTTGACCACCTGCCTGTTACACATCGAGCCGTAGCTAGCCAAAGCTGCTCCCGTGTCGAATGTGTTGCCTACCCCCCGACACTTGCCGGGGTTACCTGCGGGAGGAAGGGAGACGAAAGGGCGGAGCGACTAGTATTAGCACTACTAAGGCATTACTATAATCCTGAGGGAGACGAAAGGGCGGAGCGACTAGTATTAGCATTACTAAGGCATTACTATCATCCTGTTCGGCTGACCGGCTCAAAACAGGTAGGTGATAACGAGGATATCGAGACAGGAACAATTAAATAATTTAAAAAGTGCCTGACAAGTCTTTCTTCGCTAAAAACTGAAAACTGGACAGAAACCTAAGGTCTAGAGAAGGGTTTTTATACCCTGGGACACCCCACGGCCGGGAGAGGGAGGGGGAGCACATGCGGCTCGGCGGGGCAGGGCCCGGGCATGGCAGGGCGGGGCCTCCGGGCGGCCTCCAGGCGGTCTCAAGGACCGGATCTCCTTTGATCACGCCGACCGCGACACGGCTATTGGGCTCGGCTCGGCTCGCTCGGCTCGCTCTGCTCGGCTCGTCACGGCCGGGACTCTAACAGCGATCAACATGTTATCTCTGGCCAACAGGTGAGGTGGTGACGAGGTGACGGCGGCCCGACCTGCAGTCGTTCGTCTTGGCCCCCCTCACCTGGGGTCCCGCCGTGCCCCGGACTGTCCCGGGTGTCCCTCCCCCTTTCTTCCTCGCTCGCCTTCCCCTTCCTCTTTGCGTACCTCCCCCTCACCCACCTCCCTTCTTGCCCCCTCCTCCGCCTGCCCCCATGCGGGCT